TTCAAACTTCATAAGTGGACAGTAGCACATGGACATAATCAATTTACAAGTGTTGACTTATTACGGTGTCGGCACTATGCTGCCAAACAAACTCCTCGATCGAACGTAAAGTCTAACTGCAAACAATATCATCGTACTATTTGTACTGAAACAACAAATTTGTAGCTAGCTTTAAATGCAGGCCTAACACGCGGGCACACACTCACAATGTGTGCAGAGACAATATGTAGGAGACTCTACTACGATCTTAAGCAACGCGACAAAATGAATCTCCGTTTGCGACTGATACGACCCAATTCAAACAGAGTCAGCGCCATTTTGTTTTGACAAGCGGCTATTTCGACGGAACGCGGGTCACTCTAATATTAACCGTAAAAACAGTCCATTTAGAATCATATTGGAGTTGAAACTCGATGGTGTAGAAACATCGGAAATTAAGGGAGGACCAGACACGATTCTGTTTGCTGTCTAACGTGGTCCCAGGACGAAGTTACAAATATTTGACGTGTCAATTTTGTGAATGTTGACCGAGAATTGCGGTTAATATTCCCGACCCGACCAACCTGGCTGAACGCGGCCACCCTTTAATTAAATGAGTGAAATAGTCCAATTGTTAATTTATTAAGGCGACTCTCAGCATGAATATTATTAGGTGTTCAATTATAAATGGGTACGACGAACCAAAGCTGGAATCGTATTTCATTTTATTATATATACGTTATTGTATTCTGTTACCTACTAAACTAAAGAAATAAAACACGTTTCAGTAAGTGCCGATTGATCAACAAATGCCTCTCTCAGTTCACTAGATTCAAGGTAAGAGAGAATTTATTATTAAGACCCTAACACTTTTATACTAAAATAAAATGAAGGTAACTTTCGGTTATGTACATATATATTAATGAACGACCTAATAAATTTGTTGTTTTCCAATTTGCTTGCCATTAAATGCGCGACTGAGTTGTTGCCGGGGCGAGATGGAACAATAACAAACAATCGCGAATCGATTGTAAAGACAAAACATCGTTATAGCTTGTTAAGCCCGTATTGCTCGTTACCGCGCGGCTATTTATTTTCGAGTGGCAACATCGTAGAGTCTATAAACAAAAAAACACTTGGGTGGCGACTGTTTTCATTGACAACAATGCGTCGGGCTCTTCACGGGTAGTGTTAAGAGCGATGCTTGGAGTAGGCACTTACTTTTCGCGACATAGGTATCGGAGTAAGGGCACTCGGTACTGTATTTTCATTGTGTGCTTTTAATTTTGAGTGCGCGAACTAGCTCGCTCTCCCGGGACGTATGTTTGCGAGGGTAATATTTACTTCCTCTGTATAATTCAGCTCGCCGCCATATTTGCCAAAGAGCAATCATTTTAATATCGTCAGGCATCACATTAGGGCTGAGTGGATACTTACGTCGGCGGATGGATTAATTTTTAAAATGTATTTATATTTTCTGGCAAGGTCTGATATACAAACACATCAATGGAGATTGCCTTTACTGAGTAATCTAGAAAGTGGTTTTATAAGTTTAGTTTCACTTACTTACTTTTATAAGTTAATTTTATTTACCACCCCACTATCTCTAAGCAATAATTTCACATTTTTTTCATGAAATAAGTAGATACTTATTTGGAGTGTCTTTCAACCCCATAGTATCTCCGATATCAGAGCCAGAGGGCATTATGTGAGTTTATTTCACATCACCTCGACGGCGAATGCGTTTGCCGTTGCGATTTGCCCGCAGCCCGCAGCCCGAACCTAACGTAACCTTATGTGAACCTAGATGTGAAAATAAACTCACACTGAGGATATGATTTAGACACGGTGCCTCGTGAGTAGATAACTCTTATTTCATGCCTCTCAACAGAAAACATTTCTGTTGTCTTGGCTATTGCTAAAAAGTGGCTATTGCTTCCTCAATCTAACAACCTAAGCTTTTAAAACACATTTTAATCCTCATTCCTGCGCTGGTTATTGGTTGGTTTAGATTTATTCAGACAATCACTACGCATTCCTATATACTATTCTGTATACTTTTGCTTTTCAGTTTTTTTTATTTAAAAGGACAATGATAGACTTGAGGCTTCCTAAACTATCGTTTTATGTGAACACATTTTATTCACTCCAAAGATGAGTCCGACTCGTGTTCGTAACCAATCATTTCACAAACACGGTTGAAACCGAACAGTGTTTGAAGGCTCTAGAGCCACAATCTCAACCTTCTTTGCACTCACAGTGAAATGGTTAGTAACTTACCAACTGCAATCACCCTGACTTTCGTAAGACCATTCACATATAGATTGAATGAATTTGTATGAGAACCTACTAGACCAGGCGCTACAGGTAAGTGAGTACCTATGCAAAATGTGAGGACTGAATGGCACCAATGGATTTGTGTTTAGAAAACGTCAAAGATTAATAATGTGGATCTTGCCGGTCAATTTTTTGTTACGATTATTTTTTACCTCTTCTACTCTTACACTTTTCTGTCTCTGGGTCTCAGAGTGGTCGGCCTGTGTAAAAGTGGAAGGGGTAAAAAAAGAAATTGATTAAAAAATTAACCGGAAAGATCCACATTATTAATCTTTGACCTTTATTAACACAAATCCATTGGTGGAATTTGTCATTCTCACACGTATACACACAATATCCACAAACGCGCTGTCACACGGGTCAATTATTTCAGCTTTTATTTTAATAGGTTGCCCCAAAAGTGGTTTATCACAACAATAAAAATAGGTAATATAATTTAACGGCGAAGTCCATATACCTATTTCAGTTTTAGCAACATATGATTTATTATGAGTATTCCTGAGGTATGTTACTCACCATTTAAACTCCCAACAACTTCGTTCCCTGTAGCGCCATCTACCTGTCTTATAGGGAACTTGACTGACATCTAAAATGCTATAAAAGAATTTTGAAAATTTAAACTTTAGATACCCATACACAAATATTCACAAGATACACAAGACAAGATTCTTTCTATAACTAAAGCCTACACACACACATCTTTATTTTCTACAGTGTTTTGATTTTTTTAATCATTAGATACGTATACAAATAGTTATATCCTTACAAATATCGAATATTTTGTCAACACAAGTCAACCTCAACTTTGCACGTCAGAATGAAGTATATCTTTAACATTTTGGTCTTAACCCACATAATCACTACCATAGTAAATACAACTATGAACCCTTGCCATATTAGTTACGGCTGTTACAAGAGTCTGAGTTGCGACAATACCTAATTATGTTATGATTCATTTATCTATTCTACACAAATTTTTGTTTCAGGAAAAAAAAACCTATAGTGAAAATGAATTGCAGCGCCATCTAATGGGGCGTTCAAAACTAAGCCTTGATACAACATTTGCGAGTTGTATCACACCTTCAGCGCGCAATATGTCACATAATATTTAGTTCCAGCATTCTGTTAGCTGGTAAGCTCTATATTAGTCTTAAAAGAGATAACACGAAATTTTATCTTGTCTCAGAAGTTTTACTTTTGTATTGCCACCGACGGCGACGATTCAAACTAAAAAATAATAGCGCCATCTTGTGGACATATATGAAACCACTCAAAATACAGGAACATTTCATAATAATAATACATTGTAGTTTGAAATATTATTTATTTAAAATGTGTTTTCCGTGAGTTAAAAAATTAAAATCAATAGAGGCATTGTAGCCAGCAATGCTCCTCATGAAACATAAATTTAACAAAAAAAACTATTTAAGAAAACTTTTTTTTTTGTTACCCTTGTTATTAAACTATGTGAATTGTTAAAATATTAACAAGCTGTTTACTTTTACTAGCTTAGTGACAAATAAAATTACAATCATTATTCTTAGGATGAGGTAAAAAATTCAACTTAATATTATAAAACTGAATTAAGGTTCTTGCAAAACTTAAAAGAACTTTGTGAAGTAAAACTAACTAAAGATAAAGTAGTAATAATAGATTAAATCATGATGTCAATAATCTTCGTAAATTTGTCATGGAATTCTATATTCAAATTTGACAACTAAATAATATTATAGGTGTGACAATGTGTCAGTCTGTATATTGTCACAAAAAAGAAAACCTCTGGATCGATATTATGGAAGTATGGTAGGTAAAGAAAAAATTTCCTCATTAAATGATATAATAGTGAGATGAACTTAATTCCTATTAAATTATCACACAATCGAAATCCTATTAAATTTTCACACACTACCCAATGTGTTTTGGTCCCAAGTTATAAAATACAAGCCAATTGTCGTTCTAAAGGCATGTCTTAAGCTCTGTCTGTTTAGAAATTCCTGACACATAAAATAATATTCATTTTCAAAGATCCAGAATTGAATTCCAGATCACGGCTGAAAACACAAGCGCTGACATTAGACCAAAGAGGCAGCCTATATACTACTGGATCAGCGAGACTAACTGCCATGGGATTTATGAAGCTAATGAGATATCGTGAAGTACTAGTCGACATAACCATCATTTCATGACCCTCATGGACTAGTAGAACCAGTGACAATATTTACAAAAAGTCTTTAATGGCATCTTGCTTGAGTAGCTTTGAAAAACAGAACAACACACGCTATGTAACATAGCAAACTATACGAGTTAAAGAGTCATAGAGAAAATAACTCTTAATAAAAACTTATTCTAATTTTTTAAAAACATGATAGTCATTCTTTTTAAAATTAAATGGCAAACACACATGGCCACCAATATAGAATCTCTTGAACATTATAGTACTAATTTTAGTTAATATGATTGTTTAAAATATATATACTAACATAAACCATAAATTAAATGCAGAATATTTACAGTATATCTCTTGAATTGTAATTTTACCATGATTTTAAAAACAAAAGTTTCATAAACACCATCAGATGGGTATGATTATTGAAACATTGTAAGTAAAACATAAAACTATTTTTGAATTTACATAATTGTTACTGATTAAAGCAATGTAGTATGATGTCATGAATTATATGATTTCACTCAACCATCAGAGGGAACTGTTCTATTTCTTCACACATTGAATTGAAGCCAGCTGCCCATTCTTCAGCTTCTTTTTCCTGTAAATATAAAAATCTATTTAATATATGTAATTGCAGTCTTTGTTTATCAACAGAACTCATCAAATTGAATGTAAAATAGCTCAAGAGCTATGTAAAGATGTATCTAATAAATAATAATTATTGCATCCTTCAGAACCAAACAATTGATACATATATTAATATGAGAAATTTATTTATTTATTTAAAACATTTGAGTGTCATTATTTGATATAATTCTAAATAGTTGAATATTTTGTCCATATAGTGACAGGTTAAAAATCTAGTGTCACCACTCCTATTCATCAGTTGGGTACAAACAATTAAAGGAGCAAACTCTGTAAGATAACAGCAACGAGCAACAGCAAAGAGACGGAAAACTTGAAATAAACCCTATACTAACCCGACTGGCCAGCATGGTGCAGTAGGCCAAAACCTCTTTTCTAAGGAGAGGCCTATGTCTAGCATTGGACTATTAAAGGTTGTTAATGATGATGATGATGAGTTGAATAATACCCATACTAGGTGGCAATAAAGACATTCTTATAACCAACACCAGAAATAATCCAAAAGTTTGATAATAAGTAATTATGCATTGGGCATTATCTAGTACTAGCTGACCCGCGCAACTTCGTCTGCATCTCCAATAGTAATAAATTTTCTCCGTTTTTGAAACATTCTTCATTGGTGCTCCGCTCCTATTGGTCTTAGTGTGATGATATATAGCCTATAGCCTTCCTTGATAAATGGGCTATCTAACACTGAAAGAATTTTTCAAATCGGACCAGGAGTTCCTGAGATTAGCGCGTTCAAACAAACAAACAAACAAACTCTTCAGCTTTATAATATTAGTATAGATTAAAAAACATGCCCATTACTTAAACAAACTTAGTCCCATGTTAAAATCATTAATATACACAAAAAAAAAAACTTTTTACCTCTTTTTTTGACATTAGTTTTTTAGGCCTCTTTTTAGCTTTTTTCTTTTCCTGAACATCAGGTACTTCAAATGTGAGGTCTGCAAGATCATCTTCAAAGCTAGAGTCTCCGTCCTGACCTGTTTTACCTTCTGTTGAATGGCCATTTGATGGTTGGCGGAATGTCACTCTCTTGGGCTTACCATAGCTTTTACGGATTGGCTGCAATATGGAAAACATCGAATGTTATAAACAATTTACTAATACAGTAGATTGACTACGAAAAGCATTAAACTGTTACAATTCCATCATTGCACAGAATAAAACTGTCAACATCAATAACTTCCAATATTAAACACTAGTTTGAAAGCACTCTATGTTTTAATAACAGTGACTAAATTTTTATGTTTAGCAGTGACTAGTTTTGTATTTTATAATGCAATGTAACGATCAAAGTCATAACTGCTTATTTCAAAACCCTCTCTCAATTTAATCCAAGGGATATGCGATGAGAAACAATAGCTGGTCAAAGATGACTGACTAGCAGTAACAATAGTGGAGAACTGGTATAGACACAGAGAGATTTCCACTCTGAGAGTTCTTTTAGAACATCCCCACTCATCCATTTGAGTGTAAAATGTTACTAAAAAACATACTGATGTATAAACATAGTAATTACCTTTAAATGATGAACTACTTCAATGTCCTCAAACAAATGGACAGACTGTGAATCATCTGCAGCAAGGTCTTCTAAATTAGTCAAATTACTTTCAACATTCTTTTCAGGGAAGACAGGTGCCTCAGCTGCTGATTTCAACCCCTCATACACTTTATTTACAGCGTCAGCACTGGTTACTACTTTAGATTTTGCTGCAGTAGGCAGCGCTGCTCTAGTTGGGCCATTGATTTCCTGAAGTACAGCCCTGCCTTTAAGCCTCAGAGACCGACCAGTGGGTTTAACTTTAAGTTTAGAAGGTGACAGATTCTCCTGATCCTCACTATCATCAAATCCAAAATAAGTACAATCTTTATCTTTCTGCTTGTGGGGAGATTTTGTTGGCCTTTTACAAACATTTTTATCATTCTTACGTTTTCTCATCTTTCTTTCCTCTTTTGAATTATCTGTTTCATTTAATGTATCAATTGGTCTAGATACTTCTTCAGGAGAAATTGGATTATTATCTACCTTTTCAGTTTGTTCTTTACTAGTTACATTCAATTCAACATTTTTATTGGTAAAATCAACCGTCATTGCTTTCGTGGGTGAAACAGATCTCCCTCGTTTCTTTTTAGCTTTCTTTTCAGCAACTTCTCTTATAAATGACAAAATGCTAGTTTGCTTTAAGACTGGAGTATCAGAAACTACCTGAGGCAATGATTCACTTATATCACCCAACATATTTGTGTACACATGTTTCTTTTTATTATGATCCTCTGTACAGATGAAGGAGCTTTCAACCGCTGGTGTCATATTTGCCTTCATGTAAGTGTTGCTATGCCATTTTATTGGCAGACTGCCAAACTCTACTCTCCATGGACTTGCTAAAGGATCTCTCACAGACATAATCATGCTACTATTTGCGACAGGTACATCATCAAAGAAACTAACATCTGGTTGTAAGTTTAGGGGGTCACTACTAACTCTTTCAGAGCTTTGTAGTGGAGTCAATACAGAATTAACAACACAACTCTGTGGTCTTGGTGAATTAACAGGTGAATAGTTAAGATTTTCATGGTGGATAACACTTGGTTCAATATCGGCAGCTATATCTTCGATTCTTATTGACGGGTAATTTAATTCATGTACTGATGCTTTCCCTGTGTCATTCATAGGAGTAACGGCGTTTTCTTCTCCATCCACATTACTTTTACCATTTCGTACTTTGCTTTTTGTGATTTCATTGCAAGTTTCTTGTATTTGAGGCAACTTGACAGTTTCTTTAGTTTGTGATGGCTTGATTGCTTTCCTTAAGGCTGATAAAGCTTTAGATATGTTTTGATCGTAAACTCTTTTGTATGAAGGCAAAGCTTTAGGTTTAGCATTGTTTTGTTTTTTTACTGCAGGCTTTTTAGGTTTCTTTTTTGGCAGTTTTGCTTCTTCAGTAGGATCAAATGTGAACTCATACACATCAGCTTCTTTTGGTTTACTTACCTTTGTTTTCTTTTTGCCCATGTTGGATGTGCATTGTAAACTAAACAGTTGCTCAAAATTCTTTCACCGGCAATTCCTTCACAAATGGAAAGCTAGATTATCAGCGGGTAACATAAGCTACCTACTTTTTACCGCGTATTGAAGTAAACAAAATTGTCATTAAATGTCACGCGTGATGAGTCAGAGACAATTGTCAAAATTGTGGTTTTGTTTTTTGGTGGGCAATGGTAGCAAAAGTTTTGGTCGTATTCGGACGAACAAAATGCCAAAGAAAAACGTTTTTTTCTCAAAGTTACAGCTTAATTTCAAAAATTATAATATTACTCCTTAGGAAGTCTACTAAAAATATTTGATTCATGGCAACTAAAATTTATCAAGAATGAAAAACCATTTCTGTACAACTCCTTTTTGATTAACGCTTACAAGGTTATATCAATGGTACAACAAAATTAGGGATGAGATGAATCGTTAATTAAATCTACAATTAGATTGTTTGACACAACCAGAAACAACTTCCTAAAATATGTTCATGTTTTGACTTAAAAAAAAATCTTATCTTTACATACTATAAAAGAAAGCTTGTTTTTTAACCTACCCAAGGGATTTTAATACGGTTTTTGCCAATAAATAGAATGATTCAAGAGGCGTCTTTATGTGCATGATACATGCATGCCATAAAGAGAAAAACCGATAATTTCAAAGATTTACAATGTGAAGTCTTAAAAAACACGTTTTGGTGCGCTTACATTGCAATATATTTGCAAACCAAAATAATGTATCACGGAATTGTTTATCTTAAAAAGATCTACAAAAAACTCCGCAATGGTATAATTATGTCTATTTCCTAAGGATAACCTCACGCTTTGATTGATTCTATGGTAAGAGAAAGTGGTTTTAATTAAAATTTTAATAAAAAAAAGTATTGTAAGGTAAAGTATAAGTAGGTATTTTTTTTTGTTGAACAAATATTTTCCGATGCGAAGATGACTAAGGAGGATGATTTCAAATGTATGACTTTAGAAAAGTTAGTCTAAAATACTGTTTGATTGTTATATTATTTACGTATTAATTAAACAAAAAAGGCATCCAGTGTTTACAGTCTAAATATACATTGATCGATTTAGCCAATGATATTGTATTACTAGCCATGGTTCTGTGACAGGTGATGGGACGACTAGTATTTTTTCAATTCGAATAATTCGAATTTTACTAAGCAACAGATTTTAATGCGATTTTCATCCAGAGAGAGAGTGATTTAAGAGGAAAGCTTATATGAATAATACATGCATATTATAATAGAGAAAATTCGAGAATTTTAAAGATTTGTCGTCATAAACATGTTTTTGTGCGCTTACATCGCAAACGCTGACTAAACAACATAAATCAAAATAATGTACTATGGAATTATATATCTTAAAAAGATCTACAAAAAAAATCCGCGATGGTAAATGTGTATCTCCTAACGATAACCTTCTTTTTTTTTATAACGCGGGGAATGCTTTTCGCACCATACACTAAGTTGGGGAAACGCAGTGCGTGTGTGGGACTCCCGGAGAACCGGTTTACCCACTAAACCCCGCGGCGGCCTACCTCGGCAGTCAGGAGGAGCTCCAGGAACGTATCGGCGGCTTCTGGAGTCCTCCCTGCCGTACCCCATGTCTGAGGCACATCCCGGGGTGACTGTAGTCACCCTAGGGCGGGAGGCTGCCACGCCTTTCACTGCTCTATACAGTAGGAGGCGCAACAGCGCCCCGCCATGAACAACACCCCCCGGCCGCACTGGAGTGTCGTCTGTCTCGGGTCGTTTGCAGCGGCCACATAGCCCCAAGATGTGGCTGCAGCGACCCTTAGGCGGTGATTGGGAAGCTAACGACCTCTGCCCCGTTCCCTTCGTTGCCTCCTTCGAGCGGGATCGGCCCTCTCCCGATCCCGCTTTGCGGCCTCCTTCTGGAGCATAACGTCCTCGCAGAAAGAGACCGCGGCTGCCCATCCCTCGCCACTAGCCAGCATTGCCGCGATCAATGATGGCGGTGACAGGTTTCGTCCGATCTGTCCGACCAAGACTTGACGTTCGGACTCACACGCAGATCAGTCCTCCAGCGTGTGCTGGGCGGAGTCCCGGTCGGACTCGCAATGGTGGCATTGTGCCGTGACCTCCCGTCCAATTCGATTCAGATACTCACCGAAGCAACCGTGCCCGGTGAGCACCTGAGTCAATCGGTAGGTGACACAGTCGTTCCTCCCTACCCACGCTTCGAAGCTCGGCAGAACGGCTCCGACTGCGCGTTGGCTAGCACAGCCCTGGATTTCGAGCCGCGAATGCCAGGTCCGCAGAGCCTGCGTATGCGCGTTCCGCCTTAGCATTCCGGGATCATGATCTGGCGCGGCCCCTTCACCATTCCGACCGACAGACAGAACTTGGTCATAGACCATCGCGTCCATGTCTGCCAGAATGTCGAAGGGTGGATATCGCGCCAGGACCGTTGCCGCCTCAAACGAGATCGTACGATAGCCCCGTACGATCCGTATGGCCATCAACCGCTGCAGGCTTCTGAGTAGAGCCCCGCAGCGGGAGGCACCCGCCAAGTCTTTAGCCCAGACGGGCGCTTCATAGAGGACCATGGATCGCACGACGCCCATGTAGAGACGGCGAACTTGGGCAGCAGGTGATGCAGCGCATCCGCTACCCCGCGCACTCGGGGGACTAATCGCTCGAAATGCTCTTCGAAGGAAAGAAATGCTGTCCAGGATGAGGCCTAAGTACTTCATGTACCAGCCAACCTGGACGTCAGCGTGACCAACCCGGAGGTATGAGCTGGGTGGTTCCTGGCGCAGGCCATGGAACCATATCGCCTCAGTTTTCTGAGGCGCCACTCTCAGACCCAGCTCATGTATCTTTCCCACGACACAAGCCACCCCCTGCTCGGCGAGCCGAAGCACCTCATCGAAGTGTGACCCTCTAGCCAGTATTAACGTGTCGTCAGCATAGCAGACGATACTGAGGCCAGAGGACCACATCATATGCGAGGTTCCATAACAAAGGGCCCAAAACAGAGCCCTGGGGAACCCCGCAATACACCTCTCTCCGATTTTCCACCCCGTTCCGACCGATAAACTTCACCGTCCTGTCCCGCGGATGGGCCCCAATGACGTCCCGCAGGTAGAGCGACACCTCGTGAAATTCAAGGGCCGCCCTTATCGCCTGCCTCGAGGGTGCCGAACGATCTCCTAAGGATAACCTACTGTAACCATTTTTATCTTTTTAAATATTACAATAAATAATGAGTAATTTACGAAGCTATTTTGAACCTTACAGTATAATTTCTCATCCAAATAAATACGTTTCGTAAGTTGTGCATTAAATGTAGATCAAAATTGCCTTTTGCAGCATATCATTAAATCAATAGCTTAGTAGATATCAAAGATTTAAAATGCGGGGGCAACACGGCCGTCACCGCGTCGTGCCATAAGTCTAGCCCGGGTGGCAGCAACCAGCCGGAGTGGAGCGGGCCTATAAATATTGCATATAAAGATGTCCTGTAGTATAGTAGTCTTAACTTAATAATAGAATAATTAATTACTTCACACTGGCACCACATTGGTAGTAGAGTATATGCATTGCATCCATGAGAAGCCGGGGTGGATTACTAGTTCGAATTAAATGATTCGAACTACCCATAGCTAATCAGTATCAAGCCATCTATATTTTACGAAGTATATTAAGGCATTGGTAAACGTGACCGCCATTTGTTTCAAACAAATTGCAGCAAGTAGTGTATCCAATACCACATCCATTGTGAGAATGAATACCAGCAACACGCCCATTCCTTTGGACTTTTGCGCCAAATATTGGAATCACTGTTATGTTTCCAATATTTTTATTTACAACCTTTAATTGTTTCAAACACGAGGTAATAATGCATTAACAACATTTAATATTGGCAACTTGTCTTTCGTGGCGACCCAGCTTTATTTTTTTTAGTAATATTTTTTTCTTATGTATGATGTCGCACCTTTCAAAACATTGACTAGGTACGTATTTAAACAAGGTTTATAAAGTCATTTTTAGGGTTCCGTACCTCAAAAGATTAAAAAGGAACCCTTATAAGATCACTTTCGTGTCCGTCTGTCCGTTTGTCACCACCGATTTTCTCAGGAACGGGTAGACCTAACAAGTTGAAATTTATACTAGATACTGAGGTCTATGGTCCCTATTAGTTGTATAAAAATCAAGGTCCTCAGTCAACATGATAATAAGGTATGGGCAAATTTCGATTTTCGCGAAAACTTGTAAGTACCAAAATTAACCTTAATTTTCAACATTTTTATTTTTCAGAATTTCGCGAAAATAAACGTATAATCTGGGTAGGTACGGAACCCTCGGCGCACGAGTTCGACTCGTACCTGAGAGGTTTTTTTTTGTCAGCTCTTGACATCGGGTCCCATTAAACTTTCGTTTCTATTAGTTTTCTTCAGTGAATATTTGTATATATTGGGAGTCATAAAATAAATCATAGTTATTTATTAAAAGGTATTAGTATCTAAATATAATATATTATATGGTATTCATAGGGAATGTTTAAATAGACATGGGTTCGGTCATCTATGAATGTAACTAAGATACATATTTTAACGGCAACCCTAAATTATATATTTGAATTATGTCGCTGTTATTCAGCCGTTGTACTTTTAAACAATTTGATGTTGTCGTAATGGTCGCTAAATTGGACTGTGATAGTGAAGGGTTTTTGTTATAAGATTCCCATTTGTTTTTTTTATATGTAGCACGTAATAGAGAGAAAGGTAAATTACATATGTTAGCCTATGCCGTATTGTTTTTTTTGGAAGTCGGAAGTTCAATTCAATGATTAACCATTCTTCTTATTTCTTCATGTCATAAGCATAATCAGTATTATGTACTATTTTTTTGTTTACTAACGTAAATTACCTCCTTGCAGGAACAAATTGATGTCAACTCTGACATACGAACGCCACATACGGGAAGTAAAAAAATAAAACTTGACCAAGCTGACGAGTCCCTGATCATCCAGGCCAAGAAACTCTAGGATATGAGAGCTGTGCTGAGGAAGTAGGAGTGGCGTGGCGTTATATTTGTAGGGAAGGAAGTAAAACAAACATGGTTGAGATGGACGGCAAAGGGACGATCGACACTGTACAAGTGGCTCTGAGAATTCGGCCGTTGATGCAGCAGGAGATAGAAAGGGGATGTGATGAGTGTATTGATGTAGTGACAGGGGAGCCCCAAGTTCAAATAAAAGATCTATCTTTTACATACAATTTTGTATTTCCTCAGCACATAACACAGCAAGAGTTCTATGATACTGCTGTAAAGGGTTTGATAGGGAAACTATTTCAAGGTTTGTCACTTGTATAAAGTTGTAGTTTAATACCAATGCAAAATTTAAAGTTTCTTTTGAACCAGTTCAGGCATAAATTTCACAGAATAAAATATTAATCATCAACAGTCTTTAACAGTCCACTGCTGGACATAGGCCTCTCCTTAGAAAGGATTGCTTGCGCAGATTGCTCCCTTAGTCATCTCTTACGACACCCATGGGATGAACAGGGACCACCCATGGAATGAAAATATTTAATCAAATAAATTGAATTATTAAAATTTACTTTAAAAATGTAAAAAGACTAATAAGAGATGTAAATTTCAACTTAATTGCAATAATAACTGTACCATTTGAACACCTTGATGGACTTCATTAAAAGTGGAATTATCAAATACAGTTCTAAATGTTAAATGTACATTAGTTACTTACAACTTTATGATCTGGAGAGTATTAATTCTTTTATTCTTTATTTCACAGGTTACAATGTTACAATTCTTGCATATGGCCAGACTGGCTCTGGAAAGACTTACACCATGGGTACAAACTACTCAGGATCTGATGGTGACTCCACAAAGTTGGGTATGTAATTTAATTTTACTTAATATAATATTTCTGATCCCTTTGATTAAATGTTGACTGTTGTAAAATTTATTATTGAAAGTTTAAATATATAATTATATTCTACATGGGAATAAACACTATCACAGCTTGTGACCATGCAGTGTAACCAAATAAATGTATTACATGATCACATTAACTCTTGTATATGAACATCATTATATATCACAAGCTTTTACCTGCGGCTCCGCCTGCGTTAAGGTTAGTTATCATGGTAAAAAATAGCCCTTACTCCTTACGCCTTACTAAGTTACTCTCTGATAATGTAGCTTCCCATCAGTAAAAGAATTTTAAACTCGGTTTAAAAGTTCAGGTTTGAAAGCATAGCAAACAAACTAACAACTAAAACAAACTCACTTTTAAATTTATAATATAACTATGGATGTGATGCAAAGTTTAAAAGTTTTTATTTGTTTGTATTTTTTAAAAATTTTATATAACACTTTTTTTTTTTACACAATGGGACTACGATATTGCTGTTTTTACCCTTCACAGTGCATCTTTGTATGGGCACCATATATGCTAGGCTCACACCTTGTCTTGACAGTCAAAAGAGTTTGGGCATGTCTAATAATAATATACAGGGTCACTGGGTAAGTCGACCTAGATACTTTAAGGGGTTGTAGTTGCCATCATTTCTGATAGATTTCAATATGACATACCATATCTTCAACCTAACCATTTTCAAGATATTGAATCGACAAAAAAAATAATTAGGCAAAATTTCGTCAATTTTTATAATTATTATACTCTTATTAAAAAAAATCTTCTAAGTCTGGGATATGGTATTTCACAGTAAAATCTATCAGCAATGATTGAAACCACCAACCCTTAAAGTATCTAGGTCAACAGTGAAGAAGATGCTTAATCATTCTAAACCTGGCGCAGGTTACTAATGAGTTCTTATCATTATGTAAAATATAATTTCATGAATATCCACTTGTATTATTTTGAAATAACATTTTTTTATGCAGACGGTTTTATATGTGATCTAGAAACATTCAAATCAAGAGCAATATTTACTTTTTTATCAGGTGTAATACCCCAAGCAGTGGCAGACATATTTGATTTCATAGAAACACATGAGGATAAGTTCATATTTAAAGTAAATGTATCCTTCATGGAGCTGTATCAAGAGCAGTGTTATGACTTACTCTCTGGCAAGGAGAGGGGACATAGTATTATAGAAATTAGAGAGGATATTAATAAAGGTGTTATTCTACCAGGTAAGGTTTAGTTTTTTTATTTATTTTTTTACTAGCTGACTCAACCGGTCATGTAAAAAAGTATGTCTAGTTTTTTTTTATATCTCCACTTGCCATGCAATTTTTGACTTTAATGTCAAAAATGGCATCACAATTTTCAGCAGCATTAGAATGTCTTTTAAGATTAACTCAATTGATGCACTTATCAGTGAACCACACTAACTTTACAATTTAAAAATGCATTTTATAATTTCATGTATGGACCACATACTTCTGTAGTACTATAATAAAGCTGTGTGCTGTCATTATAGAGCTACTATAAGTATATAGTAGCCTCTTTTATTTTTCTGGATTGCCACCTCATATAACTTAACAATTGCAGGCATCTCAGAACTTCCTGTATCATCTACAATGGAAACTATGATGGTATTAGAGCGGGGCTCAGCAGGACGAGTGACTGGTTCCACAGCAATGAACCAAGCCAGTAGTAGGAGTCACGCTGTTTTCACAATTGTTATATCTAAAGAAAGCCGAGCTGACAAGTAAGTGACCAATTCCAAACAGTCCAACAAACTGAAACTTGTGGATAACTTCTGATCATCATCTCAATCGAAAGACATCTACTGCTGGACACGCCTCTCCGAAGGTTCGCCACAACAACCGGTTTTGTGCTACCCGCGACCTTCACCAGGTCCACGGACTACCTTGTGGGGTGCCTATCAACATTGCGTCTTCAGTTACGCGATCGCCTCTCGATTGAGAACTTTTGGGACTTTACTTGTGCATATATAGTTCATGTATTATCTTATTCACTTTATCCACAGAAATATGGCTACAACATCAAAGTTCCACCTTGTTGACTTGGCTGGTTCAGAACGTATCAAAAAGACAAAAGCTAGTGGAGAACGATTGAGGGAAGGTGTCAAAATCAATCAAGGGCTTTTAGCACTCGGAAATGTCATTTCAGCACTGGGTGATGGGACAAACAGGAGTTTTATAAGCTATAGAGATAGCAAACTTACTCGGTTATTGCAAGGTATAGTAGACTAAACTTTTTTGCTTTTTGAAAAATAGTGTTGACTTAATATAACCAGTATAACTTTTGTTTGAAGTGGTAGACGAAGGCTATGCTGTATTGTCACCAAAGTGTGTTTTACAATAACATCTAGAAATAAATTATTGCGTTTCTTTGTCTTGCAGACAGTCTCGGTGGAAATTCACTAACCCTTATGGTAGCATGCGTAAGCCCCGCTGATTACAACTTGGACGAAACGGTGTCGACGCTACGCTACGCAGATCGCGCCCGCAGGATACGCAACAAACCTATCATCAATCAAGATGCAAAAGCCGCCGAGATTCTCAGGTATTTAATATTTTTATATTTTATGTAACTTACTAGTGTGAGTTTATTTCATATCCACTTGGTCGTCACTGTGACCGCGTTCGCCTGCACTGTTAGGCCGATCGCGGTCGCCGTGGAGAGCGAGTTAACATGAAACAAACTCACACTAGGGCCTCAAAAGTCCAGGCCAGTCCAGGCCAATGTATTCTAATTTACGAGTTAAGACCATTACGATAGTAAAATGCAACAATGCGTACAATCACTACACTAAGAAAGTTAATAATTTAATTGATTTTAATATTACGTAATTTTGTGTAGGTTGAACAATTTAGTCAATGAACTCCGTTTGCAAGTGTTGGGCAAATTGCCTACAATTTGCGAGCAGAACAATGAACAACTGCAGGAAGAGTTAGATAAAGAACGTACCAAATATCAAGAACTATTGAAAAAGTACAAGCAAGTGACTGAAAATTTAAGTAACATGGTGATTTTGAATACAAATTTATGTGAAAAGGCTTTACTTGCCGAAGCTGCGAAAGATAAAATTGAGCGTAAATTAAACGAGTTGACTGAACAGTGCAATCAAACTATAGAAAATCTAAATACTACAAGTGGTGCAGTGGATGATGAGTTACAAAAGACTTCAGTAGTAGATTACTTAAAAGAAATCAAGACGCGGTTAGAGGACCTACAGACTGTAAATATGAAGTCCGATGAAGAGATGATAGATCACGAAATTAAACAATCATTTGTCAATGAGAATGATCTCGACAAAGGTGGTGATGAGGTCGTGATGAATGAGGATCAAGCTGTTTTGGAGGAAGAAAAGAGAACTATGGGACAGGTAAGGTTTACCAAAATTATTGCTGAGCATATAATGATAGTAGAAATAATTAATAAAAATAGTTTTTCTTTTATCACATTCACATAACGCCATCTAGTCCCAAACTAAACAGAGTTTGTATTATGGGTACTAGACAATTGATATAAATCCATATATACTTTCTTTTTAGTAAATACATACATATTATACATAGAAACACCCAGACCAAATCAAACATTAAATGTTCATGCACCCGGAAATCGAACCCGCGATCATTGGAATAGCAGTCCGTAACACAAACCACTACGTCATCCGGTTCTTTCACAATATAGGCTACAGAAAAACTCTAACCTGAAACCATCTATACATATCTTGTTAAAATAGGCTAGTACCAAAGAGTACACAAATAGGTAAATGGCTAATCTATACATTTGTCTAAACAAAGAAGTTTAATTCAAATTTCTCACATAGCAAAAAATATCTTGTTAAATACACCTAAACCAAAAAAAAACCTTTTTTAAAACGTTTAGCCTGTTTGTTTGTTACGGCTAAACTCCGAAACGGATGGACCGTGTTTTACGGGACTTTCTCTGGTAGCTCTTTGTAAATATACCACACTTCATTCACTCTCTTAAATCATTTCACCAAGACTTGCTAGTAATATTGCTTACAAGTATATATTATTCTTACCAAGGTCGCTCTTAACCAAGAATTACAAGAATTAAACCGCGCAATGGCGATCAAGGCATCCGTAGTACAGGCCATCCTCGCGAATAACAAGGATATGTTGGAAAGCCACAAGAATCTTCAAGAGAATGAGGAAAAGATTTCACAACTGGAGAAAGAGCGAGATGAATTGTTACAGCAGCTGAAAACCAAGGTAAGTTCAAAACTAAAATTACTTTATTATGTGTTTGTATAAAATATAAAATTTTGTACAAAACAGGGATTTTGTTGATTTCATAAACGATGTATTTATCGGTATAGAAGCATCGAGAGGCGTTAAGTATACTAAAAATAAAATTACTTGCCACCTTTTCTCTGAAACAAAAAAAAAATCAAAAGCAGCTAAGAATGTAATAGCTACGAAACCCTGTCCATGAGTTTGACATATATAATTAATTCATATACATTCTACAGAAACCATCATAAATTTCATAGTTAAATGTGATTTACTAGATGACTAATATCCATATCATCCACAGTCTAAAGACCCATCGCATGAAGAGCGTCGTACCAAAGTATCAACTCTAGAAGCACAAATATCAGACTTGAAAAAGACTTGCCAGCAACAAGCTCACATCATCAAGACGAAGGAGAAGAATGAAGCCAAGATTGCTTCTTTGAATGCTGAACTACAGGCTATGAAAGCCACTAAGGTACTTTAATATCATATCTATTACTTATAAAGCATTTTCCAAATCAAGCGTAAAGCGATATTCGTATAGAATGATTACAATGTAGTCATGGGTAAATTTTGAGGTACATCCACCTTCTTCTCGTCAGAAACAAGTTATATACTTTCTTATATTTATAATAACGCCACATGGCAGTCTGATCTCAAACTAGGCAGATCCTGTGGTAACCAGACAGCTGATAAACTTAATTCTAAACACTTCTAAATATATTCTTATTATAGATAAACTACAGTTGCTAATAAAACAAGTTTAAAAAGCACGACGCACCAGTCAAAATGGAATTACGCGCTATTTAGCCGCCGCCCCTATCCGGCAAGCCTTTATTATACAATAGCATGTCTTTCATCAAAATATTTATATTAGTTTCACTTGATGATTTAAGCATTCTAACGAATACGAAAACTCATACACCCCAAATATGTTCAAGCAATTAGACATTATGGTAGAATATACATAAAACTTAAAAACGTCATTCTGAGCAGTCATGGAATAAAATAAAGCAAATTAATACTTATTTTGCAATGATCGAAATTGATGAAACTTGTTAAAACCCACATGAAACTTGTTAAAACGTCAATTGTTTTATTTGACTGAAACTAAATGCATGGATGATATATAGTATGAATATTGTAATAAGTAACCAAAAAATACACATCTTATTGGGTTGAATAAAAGAAAAGTATTGTTTTGAATTCTAGGTTAAAATAATAAAACAAATGCGTGAAGAAAGCGAAAAGTTCAGAAAATGGAAGGCGGACAACGAGCGTGCAATGCTGCGCCTGCGCAACGAGGATCGCAAGCGTGCCAACGCCATGGCTAAGATGGAGTCTCTACACGCCAAACAACAGAACGTACTTAAACGGAAGATGGAGGAGGCCGTGGCTGTTAATAAGAGGCTAAAGGTTTGTGTGTTAAAAATGCCAAAAGTTATCTTGTAACAAATGTAACTAGTTTTATATAATAACGGAATAAGGCTGTTAACTACAATACTAAGTAGTCACAGTCGTAACAATTATAATCCATTCGCGTTAATATAGTGACGAATCGAGCTAGCCCCCCCCCCCCCCCCCCCCGACCAATCAGGTTACAAGAAATCAGTATCGTTCGAAAGCTAAAGTATAAAATATACCTCTATTAAATTGAACAGGAAGCGCTGGAGCGTCAGAAGTTCTCGCAGATGAAACGCAACGCAAAGGGTAGTGTGAAGGCGGGCGCCGTTCAGCAGTACATCGAACAAGAACTTGAAGTACACCTCAGTATTGTAGAGGCCGAGAAGTCGCTAGAAGAACTTATGGAATACAGGTATTTTTTCTTTTTACTTTTTACATCCGTGTAAAATACTAATTACACATGTATGTGTTGATATAAATTTTAGCAGCCAATTATAGCTCAGTATTTCTCAGTGCCTATACATCGTGCAATTGTAGCTGCCGTCCAAATTCTTATTAGGCACCTGATATTATTTACGTACCCCATTTTTGCAAGTCTGTCTAGTGTTAGTCTAAGTCAATCTAGTGCCTACTAAAAATTTGGATGTCAGCTACAATTGCACGGTGTAAAGGCACTGATAAAGACTGAGCAAACCTCGCTTCCCTCCCCTTGATTTTGGGAGGGGGACTCAAAGGGGCAGCGACGTACTTGTAACCCTTGAGTTGCAGGTGACTATGGGCGGCGGTAGTCACTTACCATCAGGTGACCCGTGTGCTCGTTTGACTCTATACCAAAAAAAAAAAAACAAATAATCTTGTGTGTATAAAATAACCTTAGTAAATATTATTATTAAATTTAAATACATTTTTTTTTATTACTAGTGTTACACTACACAGGACAAAAGCACTGTAAAGAGAAAACTTGAAACAAACCCTATACCAAACTGTATGGCCAGCATGGTATATTGGGCCGTAATGTCCATTCCAAGGAGAGCCCTATTTTCAGCAGTAGACTGGTATAGATTATTGATTTATATTAATACAATTTTCAGAGCATGGATAACAGAACAGATAGAAAATTTACGTAACAGTACTGATGAGGAAGCTAATAGAAAGAAAATTGCCGAATTAGAGGATGACCTAGCCCTTCGTAAAGCACAAATATCCGATCTACAGCAGAAGATATTAACTGCTGATCAAGGTAATAAAATCTCAATTTGTAGCCTAAGATAAAAGAAGAAAAAGATACATAAGTATTAATTTATTCTTATTTTGACATGTTATATACTAAGAGGTTGAATACCTCACATATTCTATGAAAAAAAAAACTAACTATTATTGTGGGAGTGATAATTGGCTGTAAGTTTCAAAAATAATATTACGTTTTGTAATAACACTTGTCTCTAATACACTAATGATTTGATATAATAGTATTTGTGATAATTTAAAATTAGCAATCACGAGAATCTTGAGACGCATTCGGAATGTTAATGTAATTACATATATCTCCTAAATTTTATGCAGGATCATTTCAGCTAACATAATTTTTTTGCTTATTTTACAAATACCCTCTTGTGTCTTATGTTAAATAGACGTCATGTTGACCTTAGAACGTACTGACATAATTTTTTCCACTCTCAATAGAAAACAAGTCCCGAACACAATGGGACAACATCCAATCCATGCTTGAAGCCAAGGTGGCGCTTAAATGTCTATTTGAGTTACTTGTGGATGCAAAGAGGGAAATGCAGAACCAGAGTGAAAAGGGCTTCCAGGCTAGATATGAGGAGATCAAGGAGGCGCATGACAGGCTTGCCATGGACTTTGAAAATAGTAAAACTGAGTTTGAAAGGCAGTTGGCTACGGTGAAACTTCAGAGTGAACAGAAGGTAAAATACCTAAACTTATAGTACCTATTAAACTTTAACTTATATTATTGGTCTATTGGAGTGATTCCAAAAGCAATAGGCAGTGATTTACTGGCAACAAAACATTAAGATTAAATTTCCCATCACCTTTTTCTACGAAAGAGATAATTTTGATCTCTAATACGTGACAACAAGAAAAGGCAACTTCCAGGCGCTACCTGAATTACACTATTATAGTGTCGGGGCAAGAGCCGATATTTAATTTAATGGTTTCACATAATCTGTACGTTTATTTTCAGCTGTCGGCTTTGGTGGCACTACAACGCGGCGTAATCGGCAAGGGCGATAAGAGTGAAGCGTGCAAACATCTTCAAAACGTGATACAATACCAACAGGAACGATTGGACCAAGTCGAGGAGGAAAATGTATGGCCAAGTTAATTGTGAACCCTAACTCAATGCATTAAAGATTAGTTCTTGTTTATACGCGTTTTCTGTCGTAGTTAGAATGTTAGATTTTGTTTTTTATAACAACTCAAGCTTATTTTTGACACTGGCGACTACTCTGTATGTTAAGGTAATGTTTCCTTATATTCTGGTAACATTACATGTAGAGTAGATACATATGTCACAGACTTTTTTCTCACTACTTGAACATACCATAAAGTAATGATTTAAAAATAGACTACGATAATTGGCTTTATAAATGACATTGCTAATATTTTTTTATTATTAAAATTGTTATATATAAAGTTCTATGAATTTTACAGAAAAAGTTAGTGGATGAATTAGAACAATTGCGGTCAGGAAGTAAGAAAACGAAAAGACGAGCTAAAAAGGACGCCAGTGGAGAACCTGAAAAGAAGGTGGAATATGTGGAACCGACTGATGAGGAAGAAGATGAATTTGAGGATAATGAAAAGGACCCTGATTGGAGAGCGACGCCGTTGTTTAAGCGTATTCAGGTAATGTAGCATAACAATTAAAAAATACTTAATGATAAAGTCAGTTATTGTTTTAGTTTCTTTCGTATTGTCTACTTAACCATAAAGTAGACTTTTATGATTATTTACCAAATTTGATAAACTAGCTTGCATCGAATTCGATTCTGTATATTCGGGTCTTTATTACGATGTTAACGTTTAGTGATGAGCGGTTAACGAAATCGGTGACGGTAAGTATAATACATGTATTATGTACGCCAGGCTCAACGCTCCCGGCTGACGATGAACTTCACGGCGGCGGACTTGTCGGTGACGGAGGGCGGGGGCGGTGCGGGTGGCGGTGCGGGGGGCGGTGCGGGTGGCGCGGCGGGCGCGGCGCGAGCGCTGAAGCGCGGCAGTGACGGCGCCGCGCACTGCGTGTGCCGCGGCTCGTGCTCCACCAAGATGTGCGGCTGCGTCAAGTCCGACAAGGGCTGCTCGCACACGTGCCGCTGCCAGCCCGAGCTCTGCAAGAACCGCCGCGTCTCCTCCGACAGCGAGGACAAGGAGAACAATGTGAGCTATTCCACGACTCTACTAGCGATACCGGATATAGGATAGTCAACGCGATCAACCGGAAGTACCCTACAGGTTTTGGGTCTATAATCTATATGGTAGTTCCCGTTGACCTAGAATCGAAATTTGGCAAAAAGCAATGTTACATCACAAATAAAAGAAAATCCAAATAATAAAAAATGTTGAAAATTAAGGTAAATTTTGGTACTTACAAGTTTTTGCGAAAAACTACGTAAGATCTTAGTAGGTACGGAATCCTCGTCCCATGACTTCGACACGCACTTGACCGGTTTTTTGTACATAAAATACCGTCAATATTTAAGATACAATTCAATAGAATATCTTTTTGTAAACAACATTTCTTTTTGTAAACAACATTAAATATGGTGAAATTTCGTTTCACGTTTCACAGATACCTCCAATATAATATGATATTAACTTTTTATTTTATACCAGCTGTACCCTGCCAAGCTTCGCTGTGACACATGCATTGATGAGATATGAGCAACAAAACTGACATGAAAAACAAAAAAAAAAGATTTGTTTATGGTGTCAAAATTTAACCTCAATCAATGCACAACTTGTTGAGTTATTGAAGCGCACACAAACCAACTTAACATTTTAACTTTAACATTAAATACATATATAGATAATAATAAAATGTTCATTTTTCTTTACAGCCGTCAAGTACAGAACTTTCTATCGAAACGACACCGCCGTCTTACTTTGATAAACGGTAAGCAACACACACGCTTACATGCATAAAATTACCAACCTTTCTAACTGAAACAATATATGTAATAGATTCGAAACGTCCGAGGAATTAACCGACAGCCAAACGAAAACCGATGCTCCCACCACGCCTTTAAAGATGGAATTGCCGAAACAACGTTCTCCATTACGGGTTAAAAATAATGGCCCACAGAAATGGATGTTCGCCCTACTTTTGTACAACACTTGTGTAGCCCCTATGTCATCTTACTGCGCCAACAACATATTGCAATACGGCATGGACCAAGTCAAGTACAATGTGTTGTCCCATATCTTGAAGTTCTTGATGCGAGAGGTTATTAAAACATTTGAAAGTAAACGACTTGACGTATTTTGTGCATAAATGGGGAATTAACTATGTAGGTCAAAGAAATATGTCTTTGTTGGTCCCAATGTTCAATAAAAAAATATTGAAAGACAATTAAAAAAGAAATTCCTTACCCTGTTTTACCGGGGTTTAGACCAGGGATTCCCAAACTGTTTTGGGCAAGAGACCCTTTTCTAAAATGAACTGATTGATACCACAGACTCCCCATAGCCAAATAACTGCACGCTTATCGACTTTAGTTTTAAAAAAGTGCAACGATGACTTCCTACTAGAATATTAGTCATTCTTATAACGTAACACAACAAGTCAATTAAATTGATTGAGACAATTTATTTATTGTATGTATTGTATTGTATACTGTATAGTATAGTATTGTAAATTATGTAATTTTTAATATATTTATCACACATGTAAGCCATAAAATTAATAAAAAAAAATATGTCTACATGAAAATGACGCGGATTTTTTTTAATTTGTTTCTATTTTTTATGTTACAAGCTACGTCAAGTCTTACTTTTTAATACCTAAGAATTTGCGGACTATGCCCTTACAAAAATAGGAAACAACTAAAAATATATATTATAAAATTGTCTCTTCTTGTTTCCAAAGGCCCATCAAGAAGTATCCATTTTATAAAAACATATCCGGCATTTGGCACATATTTAAGAGAACGGGATCCAGTTCTCTGTGAGTGCATAGTTCTGCAATATGTAGCAAATAGTCTATATTGGTTTATGAAATGTAGATCTAGAGAAAATGTCTCTCTTTAGAAACCATTCAATACATATTAAAAAATAACATTTCATACTTAGAAATTTCATTGGGAACATCTTTAAAATATTATGTAGACTTTATCAAATAATTGTAACATGTTTTTTTTTGCAGAACTATGTACTTTATGTTAGTTATAAATTCTTTGATAAGACAAAAAAAATGTAAATCATTTTAGATTATTCGTATGTTGCTCGTTGCGTAGTTGCGTAGCTTTGTAAAAAAGATACGAATAGAAGGATCTCTTTAAGGTTCTTCACTAAACCTTCTCTCTGACTTTAACAGAGTGTGGTGGCCGTAGTATACATGGCACTAATATTTTGTGTAATTTCCAGAAATCACCTTGATGCAACGTACGTCAAGAAGAAGAAGAGTTACTTCTTTCCGCATGATCAGGGAAATGGCGACCTAATCCAATAAAGGTATGAAACAAAACCAATCAATCAAAAATAACGTTTTATTAGCAAGATCAAGTAGATCAGTTGAAGTCGTTACTGGCTAGAATGGTAACTGAGCACTAGTTATTTCAATACGAGTTATTAAGAACTTCTGATGATAATTCTCAAATTAAACACACCGTGTTTAAGATTCTAAGCATAGTATCATATCATGATCATCTTATTATCTTTTTCAAATTTATTTCCTTTCAGTGCAAAGCATTTTCTTCCACCATACTCCTCTATTAGTTGACATCCTCTTTCAATGCACTCTTTCATTTAGTTGCAAAATGGTTTTGCCCTTTTTCGTTTATGGCTAGCTCCTTTGAAATTAATCGTTCTTTGTAAAATAATATGAAGCGAAATGCTGTTGTTGTTTTGAAAATAAAATTTGTAATAATAGACTATCAAGATAGTGCTCATGACAAATGACGCTCTGTGAAAATACACAAAATTTTACATTTATTTTACTCAGAAGAAATATAGTTTCTCACATCTGTCATTAGTTGCTAAACATAGCAACATCAAAAAAATCTCCAAAAATAACTTTAGGGCAATGGACTGAAAGGGCGGCAAAATTAATGATGCAAATGGATTACTGTTGACTTAATTATTTCTGGGCACCTCAAATTACTCACTGTAGCGGGTATCGTGGACTTTTATCAATTAGTAATATAAGAAGAAACAATGTTCCTCATATCTGTGTTTTTATTTTTTTCAGACTGAATACTCGCAAAGGACCTATGAAACCTAGAATAAAATTTAAGTATCTATGCATTACGTAAAATATTAGTGCCTCATCAATATTATCATATGTCCTCACCATTAAATTTAATCTAAATTAAGTGCAGAATGTATTACATATAATTTAATTTTTTATTTTATTAAAGACTGGGTTTTGAAGCGTCGCCATTTTTTTTTAAATTTTACGTATTCTAAATCCAGTCTAAGAC